TGGAATCACATTGTGATTTCAATGCGCTTCATGTCGATGTTCCAAAATTTGCCCCCGGGATCTTATCCCTCTTCATTTTTTAAATTTCCATTTAATCTATTGTCAATGCTTCATTGTTGTTTTTTGTATTTTCCTGTTGTATTTTTCTCGGTAGCTCATGAGTTAACAAGCACTGAGATAATATGCTCAATACTTTCAAGGTCATCATCATCGATTGCAAAAATGGGCAGTGCCTGAATTTCACTCTCCACTCCTGACATACTCCTAAAGCAAATACTAACAAAAATGTGCTAGGTTCCACATGAGAGAAAGGGGAAAGGGGACTATTGGATAATATGCTTCCTCAGAAATCATCTAGTATCTTCATCTAAGTGGATCATATTCCAAAAGAGAGAAACCAAAAGGGCTTGTACATTAGGCTGCTTGTCCATTCATGAAGATAATTTTTAACTCAAGAGCATGTAGAGCACCTCGGGGAAGAGAGGGAACAACCTTCATGAAAGTGTCGATACTTCTTCGCCAGGGAGCCGCTATGAAAATCAAACTTTTGTGATAGCTGCATATAGATGACTGCCATATAAGTGCCGGCACCTCTATGCTGTTCAGCTATGATTTGTAAAAACGAAATCTTTTTTTTTAATTTCAAAAACTTAAAAAATATTATTTAAATTTATATTGCATTCAAATACCGTTTTTATTTAGTTATGAGCAATATATTAATCTTAATTGAAAAATATGTCGGAAACATATAGCTAACAACTGTGCCAATAAATCATGATGTATTTTATATGTCGGATAAGTGGAAACTACGTCACTAAAAATTATTCTGACGTCAAAATGATCAACATGTGGTTTAAGTTCCCTCATAAGTTATTTTTAAAAATTATGATGTCATTCGTGAATTACTTCAGAGTTGGTAAGGTAGTTACTTAATTATGTGATCCTTCTGAAATAATACAAATGTCATAAGAAAGCTGACCTACCTTTGCATGCAGGAAAAAGAGGTATAGTTATTTTTTTTCGATGCATTAAAGAGGATAATATATGATCTCAATGAAAAGTAAATCGTTACATAAATCTAAATGCAGATTTGAATCTCCTTTATTCTGAATGTTCAGCTTTCTATTAAGCACACCTTGAATATCTTTCACATATTTTGTTTCATCATTGAGAAGCAGTGCACTATCAAAAATCAAATTTCGTTTAAAATCTTGTTATTAATTTGCCGTCATATTAAGAATTTAATGCATACCAAATGGGTAATCTGTTAGTTGATTGCGTTAATTAAATAAGAAAAGTTTCTATTACATACATAAAAAGAAAACACATAATATTTATTTTAGAATTATTTCAGTTCTGGTTTAGTATTTATTATTATATGTTTATACCTATATAATTCTAGTTTTTATTTCGTAAAAGACAGACTTTTCATATGAGAGAGATGAAATAAAGAACAAAATCAAGGACATCCTGGATTAACTACATCCTAATTTTACGAGTGCTCTAAGCTTATTTAAAGCTAAATAATTATAGATTTCCATATCTCATATTATCCTACATTGTTTCACTAAGATATTATTCTACAAGTATTTGTAAATCAATAAAAATTATTTACTTAAGTTATTTAAAAAATTAACTTGGTTTATCGTAGAGCCCTGCCTACTTTTATGTAATATAAACAAATAATAAGGAAAGTGTTATCCACTTTTGAACCTGATGTAGGGAAAGATTTGGTTGAAATATCAGCTATCTAGAAAATTTAGCTGTAGTACCATAAAAACATTATGTATCTATAAGCAATCCTTTCACTCTCAGAAAGGAGTTAAATACAAATATTAACTCGTAGAACTGGATTTAAACCTGCCTAATAAAGTATGTCATTTCTAAAGTCTGGTTTTAAGCTAAACATAAAAGCAAACTTTCAGGATGCCAGATATTAAAGATGAAACAATTAAAAATTGTTCCTAAAATAAATTTCTTTTACTTTTAAAATATGCAAATTAAAGAGATATAAAAAATACTTGAAAATATATTGCAAGTTACAATAAATAAAGGGAAAAATAAAGGCATAAAAACGTTATTTAGACGAAAAATTCGAAAAAGATTTTTTTTAATATTAAATGAAGGAATATATCCCCACATTTCACTTGCGCAAACGTTTTACGATACTGAAACTGCTCAGAGATACGAACTACTGTTATCAATTTACCCTAAACTTAATTTTTTTTAAATTTTGTGTTTTAAGTATTATGCTTCAAATATTTTCACCATATATTTCAGCATATTCGCAGTGAAACTTGTACAGCGATTCAGGATAGAGTCATCTTCCGTAACTTTGTAATTTTTTTCGTTACTGCGATGCTCAGACTTTACTTCAACGATCCCCCAAACTAACTTCAATGTATTTTTGACCCCTAGGTTATCTGAAATCTAAGGTGTATACATCAAATCCACGAGATCTGTCAGAATTGAAAGATGCCATAATGAGCGAATAATTTGGCGAATAATGAAGTGAATTTTTAAGATTCCTCTTGCGATGTTACTTTCGTCACTGTTGTCAATAATCTCCCGTATGCACCAGCGAAGGTGGGCATATTGAAAACTTGTAATTCTAATAAAAGTTGTCTTCCCTCTCCTCTTTGCTGTGTTCCTGTATCTCTGCTGTGGTCCTGCTGTGGTCTTGCTCTTCTTTGCAAATGTTTTAGGGAGGCAATTTTCATCAAATGTGTATCCTTCCAAAGGCTATGGTGTTTCCCTTTTTTTGCATAACAAATTATTTTCAGTTTTGCTACCTTTCCTGAACCTTTCATTTTCCCCTCGCATTTCCTCGCCAGGATGCAAATTTAAAGTAAAGTGAAGTGAAGTGAGTATTTAAATGGACGAATCTCGAAGTACTTTCACCGGCAGTGAGGCTGTAGAGACAACGTGCCTCATTTTATTAATCTCAAGTGTTCACATCTTTATGGCGAAACAATTCTGAAGAGCCGTTATGGGTGAGGCCCCTAGTGGGATTCCGTGATAAGCTCTGGTAAGAGCAGGATAAATTCCCTGCTGAACACCAGAATACGCAACTCAAGCATCAAAGCATCAAAGCATTATTCAGAGCGTGATTTCCCTAGCCAGCGCACGTTACGAGTCGACCTTGCTGTTACGCGGAGCTTCTGATACGCCTTTTGGCCATTTAATAAAGTGCATCGCCGGTTAGGTTATTGAGTCTTTGACTTTCCCGCTGCATTCCAGAATAATAGCAATAGTATCAAAGTTATTGAGTCAGCCTTGTTAGCCTTAATTTAAATTGTTACTCTTTATTTTTGAATTTATTGTAAACTATTCTTAAATTCCACCGCAAGTCGTCGGTGTTAATGTAAGCACGAAGTGCATTTTATGTTAAGAGTTTGGAGAATAATGAAGTGTTATTTTACCCTTCTTCTGTGCTAGGATTCTTCTACGCATGTGCGAGAAGTCACCAGGTTATCTCGTAAGCTCATTTTAACTTTATGTTAACTAACAAGATTGTGATCTTACAAGGCGCTTATGGTTTTTCAATGTGCTGGTCCATTTGTGCAGGAAAAAAATGGATGTTGCATTTGAAAATTTATGTTGTAATTGTAACCGTAGTCGTGAGAGCTGTGTTGTTTTAAATCATCCCAATCTCGAGCGCACAGCTTCAAATAATAACCCTAAAATTTCATTAAATAAAAATCTCCGAAGGGTTTTTTTTTATGACAACAGTGTATTTCACATTTAATAGACATGGCAGCAATTACGAAGATCATATTCTAAATGTTCGTCAAATATCTTTCTTCTTATTTTCTTCTTCGATGTTTCATATGGGAGAAAATTTTATCGTAAATATATGCACTCTAAAAAACCGACGCCATGATAGAAATAAATGTCCGAGAAGGGCTAGAAATTTTGGACGGGTATAACTTATAAAGGTCTACTAAATAGATTTTATTTGTGTATTATATATGATCATAACTTTTACCTTCTGTCTTCAAGTTCTAGGCATAGGTCATGTCAGTTAAAAATCGTGTAACAAATGTACAGAAATTCAGTTCATGCTCTTGGAAATATTGCAATATATTCTCAAAATCATTGAAACGTCAGTTAATAGTTGCTTTTAGCCTCAAAGACAAGTGTTCAGTTAATTCAAATGAGCAGTCATGTCCTCTATAATTCATCCAACCAGCTTTCTTCAAGTATATTTTCATTCATCCGTCCTAGACAACAAAATTTTCTTTAAGTAGTGCAGGACTGACACGCCTCTGCTGTTTGATAATTTATTTTTACTGTGCTACAAATGTAAGTAAGAAGATTGCAGACACAAATTTGTTAAGGAGGAGTTATGTTTTGGATTGTAACTGCACTACATATTTATATGCATGTAAAGTTTGTCTTTATCTGTTTGTCTACCTATTTAGAAAAAACCGACGCCATGATAATAAAGTGCATCGCGATGATAATAAAGATGCATATATATATGTAGTTACAAATTACTTGCATTAAACGCAGTTATCTGTCTATTCCTATAGATAGGTAGGTATTATATACGTTTGGATACACGATTTTAACAAGTTTTGTACAAGGTTTGGCCTAGAACCTGTTGAACGTTTAAAATTTTAATTAATGCAATCTTTTGTATTCGTCCAATACATTTTAAAGTTCTGGAAGGATATTACTGAATTTCATATTTTATATGTATGAATTAAAACGATTATGTTTATCGATAAATATAGTTTTAACATTTCACTAAAAAGCCGAAAGGTCTAAAGAGTTCTGCTTATGATAATTAAGTATCTCGTCAAGTAAATGTTTTCAGAAGAAGGTCATATTTCTGTAGTTAAAGAAGACAAAGACTGTATTTTTGTAACTATAAAATCATTAATATATGTTTCAAGTACAATAAAATATTAATATATTCTACTGTATGGTAAAATTTATGTAAAATATTTCTTTCCTTAAATACCTAGAATTAATATTGCTGTTTTCATTTTCAGAATCAAATTTGCCACAGAGATCTAAAATTGGAGAATATACTTCTGGATGAAGAAGGAAATGCTCAGGTAATATTTTGCAGGACGAATATAAAATTTGGCGAAAAAACGTATTTTTGGTCTATTTAAGATTCAAAATTCTTCCTACACATATTCTGATGGTGCCTTCTAAAACTGTTGCAAATTTTCATGAAACGCTAACATACTCTTTTAATGAATTTTACCATTAATTTGTTTATCTTGAAGATTTACCACAACACAGTCCTTGCGCACGTCTTAAATTAAAAACTGCATTCGTGCCTGATTTTTCCAGGTATCAAAAACAATGATACTAGTAACATTACGCTAGTAATGATTTATATTGCGTAAATTTATGCTCCTAAACATGATTTGTCATTTTAAGACTAATTATTAGTATTCAAAATTTATAGTTGTTGAATTAATGTACAGTTTAAACGAACAGATTTAGAATACTAAGATATTTTGGAAGCAATTCTTTATTTGGGGGGAGGAGGAGATTATAAGCGCACAATATTGCAAATTTCTTTTCTTGTATGTTATTGAAAAGACCTAAAGAAATTTCTAATGGCTGAAAAGCTAAGGAAATCTAACATTTTGAATTGAAATGCATCTAAAACGCAAGAGCTCTCTTTTAATACTATAATTAATAATTTCTTAGTTCTATATATTTTTATCTTATGTTATAATTTTTTCATACAAACAACGTAATGTATTTCATTTATAATTTTAAAATCGATTATTGAGAACTATTTCCTAATTTCCTGTTAGTCATTTGCTCAAAATGAAGAAAAGGTGACCTTTGGTATGGTGTGAACTTTTTTGTGTTCGAAGATTTTGGTATTAAAAAGTTTCAGAAAGTTGCGATTATGTCAAATATTAAATACTCCAATTCGAAACTAAAATCAGCCTTTATTAAATAAGTAATAGCAAACGATAATCAAGACGCTAAAATATTAAATATGCTGTTGGGTTATATGCATATATACAGATGATAAATTTGTAAAATGTAACAACGAAGAAATAAATAATGGCAGCAAAGTTTTCATTGTCTCATATATTGTGCATTATAGACAGTAACTTATTGTTGCCATTTGATTATTTGCATTCGAGCACACTTACGCTTTTGTTAACGCATGCAGAAACATAAAGTATTTTTATCCGCACTGTCATAAGTTGAAGACCCTCTGCATTGAAAACGTTTTCTACCCTATAAAAAATAATAGAAGAGAAAAGCAGAAGCGAAAATTCAGAAAGAAAAGGGAAGGCATTGCTTTAAGTTGTTCAGCTTAAATGATATGAAGGCGTAAAGTGCCGAGAAGGAGGAAGAGAAATATCTATATAAAAAAAATGTGAAATGAAACAAACTGGAGTGGAGATATTTTCTAACGAAAGGCGTTTGCCTCAAATTTCTAAAACGAGATCAAGCAGAAAAATTCACACGCAAAAAGAAAAAAAAAAAAAAAAAAAAAAAGCATTTTGACTAATATAATTTTTCTACATAACGTCAAATGGTTAACTAACTTCATTTCATGCTTTTTTCTGGGTTATTAGCACATATTTTTAACTTTAAGAAAGAGTTCATTTGGATTTTGTCACAGGTAAAAACCCAAATGTGCCGAGATTATTACAGAATTCAAAATTACTTTCCATAGGAAGTTTTAATCATGGACATAAGCAATTAACAGTCTTATAACTATTCTTAGTTTTATAATGTTTCAATGAGAAATAAAACAGTGCTGCATTCAGACTTCAAACGTATGTTTCACAAACATTTACTCTATTAGGAGTATTTTTCGAATCAAATTGAGCTATATTAAAATTTATACGATTACAAGGAAGTCTGTAGTTCTCCCAAGTAGCGCAAGTTAGCTACTGCAGAGGAGAAGTAATTTTACATCATTATATTTCATTAACTGAATCACTATTAACTGAATATTCAGTCGAATTGTTCAGAAAACGAATGTCAGGCATATTGCCGTCGCTTTTATTTGAAGTATATATACTGTCATTTAAAATAATTATGAAGGTTTAAACAATGTCTAGGAAAGTGAATTAGAGTTACTTCTTAATTAAATGAAGGGGCTACTATTATAAAATGGCAAAATAGCAATTATCCCTGCTTTTGCTATTTTTATAATGATTTTGCTTCAAAGTTACCAATTAAAAATTAATTCTTTTGATTAGAAAAAAAGAAAGAACTGTCATCGATTTCGGCTACCTTTTTCAGAAAACAATACTGCCTAAAATTTTTGGGTAGTTCAAAAAGTTAAAGTTTTGAAAGGATTCATTAAATGATTAATGATATTATTAGATTTTAATTTAGATAGCAATAAAATATTCTGCTCAAACGCAACTTGATTCCATTTTTTTCAGAAAAAATATTACTTAAAGAGCTGATTATGAACAGAAAAATAAGTGAAGATAACAATCCTTTTTGCAGTTATATAACTGCGCATGATGCTGTAAATTTCCGTAAATACTTTAAAATACCTGTAAACGCATTTGTGTGCATTATTGTAATATTGAGTATTGTTTCGTCTAGTTATTTATTAATTTTCTGCCTTTAATTTTATAGCTGATTTTGTTTCTAAGAGAATTTTCAACACACGTTCAATTATCTCCAGAATATGTTATAATGAAGCTTAGTATCGACATAGGCCAATATAATGCAAAAATGTAAGACATATAACAGTGGTACACGCGTATGATTGGCTTAAAGGCGGAAGAAGGTCTAAAACCGGAACTGCAGTTTCAAATAAAACAAAGAGGCTAATAAAGAGCATGGTCCTCTCTAACAGTCACATAGCTATCATAGCTTGACTTCGGACTAAAAACGAGGCAGTTTATGAGTCCCTTTGACAGGCGGTCCGATTTCTGAAATAACGCTCTTCTCACGTTCTTGAAAGTCCTAGTAGAAGGAAGGTGAGTCATAATTGCCTCCCCAAGCGTCACAGCTTTATTCTCAGAGCCCTATGTTTGCTTTTTCAGGGGTGCAATTACAAGCGCCTGGCCCCAGCCACCACCTCTTATTGGACACGACTTGTAATGTCATATAGTGACGAACAGAATTTCCCGCGGCATTTTTGCGCACCATAAACTTGAGGCCATTTTAGCGCTAAAACGGACGAAGCGATAGGTGACGGAAACTCAAAAATTCACTATATGTTATTAGTAGTAGAATAATTTGCCATATTTGCGAAAAAAATTACAAAAATAGAAAGCAGCTTCAGAAACATATTGCTAATATACATGGTATTAGAAAAAAAGGTACAATTCGATGTGCAGTCGATAACTATTTAGCAATATTTTTTGTCATTAGATGAATATCGAAGTCATTTGGCAATAAACACTTAGATAAGATATAAATGTTAAGAAGCAAAACAATAATGCATAAAAATGCATGATAACTTCAACTGACAAAGTCTAATAAACGATGTTAGAAGTGCTTTAAAAATGTCTTATCACTTTATCTAATTTTTACCATAAATGAAGAGAAATTAATGCCTAAAATTAGAAAGTAAAAAATTAATCTGACTGCGAACAATTCTGATTCCAAACAATCTCTGTTTAGCAAACAATTAATAAATGAAAGGAAGGTTGTTTAGTTAACAAGCAGTTAATTTTTATGAAAAAATAACTATTTTTACTTTTATATCGCTTTTAAAACACTTTTGTAAATAACCGCTGTTCATGAAAATGTGCGGCAGAAGATTATTCTACACAGTAGACTCAAGTATAGTAAAAGACTATACAGTAAGACTTGTTGACGTTGCTGAAGAAGCAGATCCTTTTTATCTTGAAGAAGCAAATCTTTTTTTAAAGTCATGTCTCCTGCTATATGAAATTATACAACGTATTTCCTAAATATCAGTATAGCGCTACGAATTGCACTGAATACAGATGCTAAGCCAAACGATATTTACGCATCATAAAGTTTTATCTATTCCAATTAACATTTAACAATTTAATAAAAGTGGCGACATATTTTCTTATACGTTGTTGTTTTAATTGCAAATATTCTGTTACATTGCAGAAATTCACATTAATACAGGACATAACCAAGGTCAAATTAATGTAAGTTCCCCTTGACATAACTCAAACGAAACATATAATGGAATTTTTTCAGCCTGACGTCATAAACGGCAACCAATAAGAACAGGGGCGGTGGCTGGATCCAGGCGCTTGTAGTGCAATTGGTTTCCAATTCATTTTGAAGGACGACATTCTCCATAGGGCTAATTTGGTGAATGACTTTCTGAAAGGTGAGGATACTAAATGGCCAGCCAGATTTCTAAATCAAAGCCTAATGGAATATAACTAAGGGACTTTTGAAAGGACACTTGAAGCTTGCCTTCCCCTTTCTTTGAACCCTCCAGAAACTAGAAACAGCCTTGCTTTAGGAATGGGACCGATTGCCAAACGGACTTATAAACTGTCTAGTTTGTGTGAGCTGCATAACTGTCATGTTACGTGAGCTGTATTACAGAACACAATACCCCTATTATTGTTCTTCCTTTTTCAATCATATAACCTCTTTTTTAGACTGTCTTGCAGCGATGAACCTCACGTACGACCATGCGTGTGTATCATACCTGTTATGCGGTGTATTTTTTTGCATTATATCAGCCTATGTTCATAGCAAATTCCATTAAAATCTGCCGATCCTCTTTGAAGATAATCCACCAAATGAGAAAATTCTCTTAATTTTGAATACCAGTACAGTTTTATTCGAAGTAAAAAGATACACCTAGCGCAACTAGTCCCGATGTACATACATGTGAAATGAAATTGCTGGAAACAGTATCTGTGTTTAAAAGTTTGTAGGAAACCATGTTTAGTTTACTTAAACTGTTTTAACGAAAACTAAGATTTTGCGCAACCATTAGATAGTCTTAGAAAATATTTTATCAATATAAAAGAACTATTTGCCTACTTACTAGCAACTATATTTATTGTGCTCAGAAATAAAGGTAAAGAAAGATAAAATACTTTATTTAAAGCTTTTGCTACTATTTCTAAAGTCTGAATTAATTAAACCAGATTAAAAG